GACGTTTGCGTTGACTTCTGTTTTTACAATTGGTACGTGACTGAGGCTGGAGATGTAAGATTGGATTTCAGAATGTAATTTTCCGATGAAACCGAGCAACCTGATTCTAAAAACACGTCTGACATGCATTCGGGACGCGCCTCGGTTCGAAATGCCGACGTCGTGCATTGACCGACATTAAATAACAGCCGTACTTGATGCAACGTCGTTAAATAACTTACTATCCACCCACTCAAAACCTTGTATCAGCAGCAAATTCCTTGTCTTCCAGTGGGGTCTGATGATTCGAAAAGTTTAAAACTACATCAAGCCCCCTTAGAAGACAAAGAAAATGAATATTACCGTCATTATGTATTCTGAGGGGCACGGAGTTGAATAAATTACCCACGTCACGAATACACCCTGGGGAAGTGGACCCCAGTGTCCATCGGACAGGAAGCTGGGCGTACATCAGAACCGGTCCGGACGCAGTGCAGAAGAGAATTAACTTAGGACTTCGATGCAAAAAAGGAATAACTGACAGTTTTATATGTTTTACCAATTGGGCCAAAACTCTCTTAAATACTCAGCATTGCAAATATATCCAGTGGTTTTTTATCACCGTAAAAAGTGTACGGATTTATTCGTCTCTTATATAAAAAATCTGGCTATTTTTATACTTATTTTAATAATTTTACTAACGAACAACGTGATCTGGCCATTTTGAGTTGTCTCCTTTTTTGCATCGAAGTCTTCAATTCCTGCCCCTGCTGATTGTGCAACCCACTCACTTCACTGACTCAGCCACCTAGGCTCGTAAGTTATTTTCGTGGTTCTGAAAGTTATTTCTTAACTCTCTTTCTAACGTTGGTAAAACTTACATAGCACATTTAGTTTTTACCAGCTCTGTCACAGGACTGCAAACCAAATTATAAATATTCAGACATTTATGAATTACGATATCTGTGAAACTGAAATGTGGGTGTTAGTTTAACGTGTGGCAGGTGTGTGAGAAGAATTATGGCAAGACAGATAACCCATAAACAAAATCAATTAATTAATATTTGATGTGTATCAACAGAGATTAACTTCCTTCGACGCAGATTCTATTACGCGTGAAAATACATAATAAAAACCATTTTCGAGACGCGAAATTCTTCTATTCTTCACCAGGCGCTGTTACCGTGTTAAATGTGTCGTATTGTGTTCCTTGTGTCACTGTCCGCGATATTTCCCTTGGACAGCATTATTTAATCGAAACGTAAGTGCAAATAATGATAATGAAGCAAAGAAAAGTTGTAAGGTTATGCCTGGGGGTCTCGGGTTCGATTCCCGGCGGTGCCCGAATTTATAACTTGTGTTGGGCAAGGCCGTGGTCTAGGCAACACGGAGTTTTCCTCCGTGGCATCCCAACAATTACTCCATTCACACACAGAAGAAGGCAATGGCAAACCACTGCTGGATCATCTGCCAAGAACGTATATGAACAGGGCCCAGTCCGAGAAAAAGAGGGAAGGATCCTGTTCATATGGACCGGTCCCATTCACACACAGAAGAAGGCAATGGCAAACCACTTCTGGATCATCTGCCGAGAACGTATATGAACAGGTCCCAGTCGGAGAAAAGGATGGAAGGATCCTGTTCATATGGACCTGTCGTCAGACAGAACACTAAATAAATAAATAAAATAAATAAGACCTCAGCAGCAGTTGGCCTAACATTCCATCGATATTTTGTTTTAAAGTCCAACTTCTCGTTGACATTTTACTTTAATTCTTAACTTCCGATGATACTTCATTGTATTACACACTTTGACATTCATATCAAGACAGTTTATTCGCGAATTCTTTCTTTTTTAAAATTTCGCTGCGTCGTTCCCGAATCCAAATTAATCCCATGCGATATTAAGTTCGTCCAACGCGGATTCATCGAGCACTCCGCTATCGAAGAACGTGTACCCCATCTCAAGAGTCCAGCCAACGCAACGAAACGGATGGTTGCTCCAACTAGCCGAGCGAACGCTCATTTCTGTCTTGCCACGATGTCTGCTCGCGATGTCCTAACAAAGACTTGGCCTATATAGAGTGAGGGACCTGTCTGTTAGTTAAATACAAACAGCTTGTATTTCAAAGCATCTGACCAAGAAGTCATTACTCTGAACCAGGACTCTTTCCTTACCCCAAGGTTCCTCGACTCTTTGACACTGGGTGTTTACGAAGTAATGAATCTCACACTTTGATGGCTGGACGACGTCAGCCTCTTCCAGTGAATTTGATCACAATTTTTGGCAGTGATAAAAAAAACACGCCATGAAATTATATATAAATGTGCAGTCAAATGGCTGGACAGCCGTCGAGAACACACGTGGAAGCTCCTGTGGATTCTGAGGACTTCATTTAGAAATATGTGACTCACTGTATCACACTGCTCAGAAAAATATTATCTGTCCTTGTATTTCGTTAAATAATCGCTGTACCAAAAATCATTTTAAACAAGAGTTGAATATCTCGACAAGGTTAATGTTGAATACCAAGTTCGATCGACCATTTTGAGAATCGACTTAATTCCGTCCTGAGGACGACAACGAAGATGGTTCTCGAAACGTTGGTGTTTTCTTCATTAATCCATGTTACACGGCTGGTAGCCCGAGAAGAATTTATTATACTTCGTCGTCGTGAAAGCTTCCGATCACACACTTAAAAACTACGCATGCGTTGGGTTAGATATGTTAGAAATATTACTCCATAGCCACACCCAGACTGTCTCACATTTCTTCAGCTACTATCATCGCAGAATACAACTTCTTAAGTATACGGATGAGTAAATTTGGCTCAGGTCAGAGTGATCCAAAATTTACCTATCAAGTTTAAACTCAATTTTCCTCGCAACGAGTAATAAAATTTGAGAACCTCTGCTGACTCATTGTACTACTGAAGTCTGTCGTTTGTTTTCGTTCGACGTTTTACAGTGCCGAGCAGAGGATATTAAATAATCAAATACTAAATTTGATTTAAAAGTTAATATGACTGTATTTAGTAATTATCGAGGAATGTCCCTCTTGTCATCTGGCTACAAAATTCTATCCAGCATTCTTCAGGCGAGGCTGACTCCATATGTTAATTAAATTATTGGGGATCATCAGAGTGGGTTCCGTCGTAACAGATCCACAACTGATCAAATTTTCTACATTCGCCAGATACTAGAGAAAAAGTAGAGGTACAATTAGACAGTCCAGAAACTATTTATAGACTTCAAGAAAGCCTATGAGTCACCTAAAAGAGAAGGTCTTTACATTTTGCTTCAATTTGGTGTACCTAATAAGCTAGTCAGGCTAATTAAACCGCGTTTAAGTGAAACCTCTAGAAAAATTCGTGTAGGTAAATATTTGTCCGATACATTTCCTATTCACAATGGCCTGAAACAGGGAGATTCTCTGCTTTTCAATTTCGCCT